GACCCAGCTATGGCGGCGAGGTAAGTCCTCCGTCGACTGCAGGTATGGCCTCCACCTCTCTCCCTCCTTTCTACCTCCTATCGAGCCTCTACCTCTACCTGGCACAGCGTCGTGTCGCGCTGCTCCAGCAGTGTGTCGCCCAAGAAGTGAGCTACCCGAACTGTGTCTGCCCTGGCCTGGCCCAGCTATATGTAGCGCTGGGCCTCGCTGGTGGGCATCTGTTCCTTGGCCTGAAACGGCCTGCCTGGGTCCCTACCGGACGTCCAGGCCCTCCCTGCTGATGCAGCAGGAAGTGTCCGCTACAGGACGAAAACAAACCTCGCCCAAAAGATCCTCGCCACGAATGGAGAAGGCCCAAAACGTGGCCTTGGTCCGAACAGACTGTGTTTGTTCGGACGCACTGCAAGTCGGAAACTACGCCTGGAACAAACAAAAATAGGACAGCAAAAAAATAAGAAAATAAATAAATGAATGAATGCTGTCCCTCAAATCGAATCCTGCGGCCCTAAACAGCCGTGGGCCTCCAGGGCGCATGTCCGAAGGGCATGCGGCCTGGGGGGGCCCAGCAACTGTCGGGCCCCAAAATGGGGCCCGTGTGCAGGCTCAGCATGTAACAGGGCAGGCTCATTGGTGGCGTCGGGGCTTTCAGAGAGCGCATGGCCGCCTTTTCTTTTGTTCGCACTTTTTTTTCCCGGCTTTACTCCTTGAGATGTCAGGGTCGACTGACCAGTCATGTTGTTGGATTTGAATTCAGGTCTCTGTATGAACAGTTCATGGTTGTTCCGGCAGAGTTACCCCGTTCGTTCAAGGTGGCCGCTTTTTCTTCGCCCGTTATGTTTTGCTCGTGACATGCGTTGAAAGCAGTGTCAGAAGGGGGCATCTGCTGCACGCCTGCAGCAATGGGCTGCCAGAAGACAGGCCGTTGTCGGTACTCACAAGTGGCAAAAAACAAATTGTAGTTCTTTTTTCCGCCTTATTTTGCTTAAAAAAATAAACAAAACCCCTTCTTCCACATACACAGCCTGATACTTACGCCCGACACATTTTCTTTTGTGCTTTTTTTGTGTTTTGCAAGGAACCCGACTGTTCATCACTTGCTGGAGTGCATCAGATCACTTGCATATACACAGATTTTCACAGATTGCGACGTCTCACACAAAGCCCAATAGAAGATGAATGAGAGCCAGGAAGCTCAACTCAAATATCAAAACCAGATTAGGAAAGGAAATCGTGAGTCCAAAAATGTAAAGCGCCGAACAGAGTTGCAAGTACTCTTCAATCAATCATGAGTTCCAAGCCTGGCGCTCTTCAGCGCCAGCTGCCAATCGTCAACAACAGCGCTCAACAGGTAATTGTCACCATAGCTCTCTCCTCCCCCTCTCTCATCGGCTTTCTTCTCTCTCTCCCTCTATGTCTTTAGTCCTGGTCTACTCACACTCTCCACGCATGCACACTCCCTATCACACGAGGATCTACTCTGAATACTACTCACTGGTGTCTCCTACTGACTATCCCTACTAATATACTAACTAGCGCTGGCGCAGCTATGGCTGCCTTCCTTCCAGCCAGCACCCTTCTTCTCTCTCTCTCACACTTAGCGCTGCTCTCAGCCTAGCGCAGCTCACACACAACTAGCGTACAAGTGCCACGACACTTCCACACTCTCATGTGAAGTGAGCATCTGCCGAATGAGGAGGCTGGCCAGTCCTTTATAGCGCTGGACTGGACTGGCGAGGTCTGAAATCGGCCTCCAAGTGTCTGGGACTCCTGCCCAGTACCAGTTGTTGCAAAGTGTGTGTCCCAGTATCTTTTCCCATGGTCTGCTGCTGTTTGAGCCGTCGGGCCTGTCTTTTGGACTCCTGGTCTGAATCAGGACTGACTCGTGGGACTATGACTGGACTGGGACTGTGGCCTTTGACATGACCCTAACTCAGTCTTAAAAGCTGTGTCCAATACCTGTTCGTTCAGGACCTGTTTGTGACTGCTCAAAACGACTTTTCATTTCATTATGGATGCCACATTTGCCTGAGGAACTTCGTCATTTGGTTTGCTGCTCGTGAAATTAAGTTCTGGCCGACAGGGCCACTCGCTGTTGGGTATTCATTTGGGGTCTAATTCGTAAAGGCCCTTTTACTTCGGTTCTTTTCAAACAAAAATTGTCGTGGATTAAGGTCAGCTCCTTCGATAGCGAAAGCAAACCTCCGGCGTCCAGATCAACGCTCCCGCGCGCCAAGATCTAGATCCAAAGGCCCACAGACCAAGATAAGCAAGAGATCAGCGAGCAGCATACTCCCACGGCCCACATAGCTTTACAGTCCAGCATGTTTGATTCCGGCATGCTCAGAAAGACAAAAGGCAGGTTTGCCTTTTATGTCTGAACGCTTGTCAAATTGCTTGCCTTAAATTGAGCCGTCTATCAATTACTCCTGAAAGAGACACAGCAACCAACTTGAGTTGTTGAAACCCCCGAAAGAAGGTCGACAAAAACATTACGAACTCATGTTCAATTACTTGCCAATCAGGGTATATTCTCAATTGGACTCTTAGGTACCCTCATCATCTACTTTTTCCTCACTCGAAAATGCAGTGCAAAGTGTGGAACGAACCATCTTGGGGATTTGGGTTCTTTTCACCAACTTTGGGAATACAGGTAGTGGGATCACCTTGTGCGATCATCTTCCGGACCATCTTCAACTCCTGCACGAGTCCAAGAATGACACGTGTTGGATGCCCAGACGCACAGCCAATGATGACATCACCCTGGCCACCTTGCAGCAGAGGGGTTCCAAATAACCCTTCCCCATATACAGGGCGAGGTGGCACATCTGTCGGATGCAACTGCGACAGAGGAACAGGATTCTCTGTAGGAGTCCAGTTCTCATAGACTCTGATGAAAGACATGAGGAAAGCCTCAAATGCCCGCTGGCCATTCTCCTGTACCACCCACGTAACCACAAATGACACATATACAAATCGTGTCCAACATCATAATTGAGCATTTTTAGCATAAATCTAGATACTCTTGCAGAACAGGACAATCTTCCGATCAAATGCAGTGTTGCAAAAGTCTTTCAAAATTGAAGGCTGATTCATGCAGAACCGACGGGGCACAAAAGGATTCACATGAATCCCATCCGAAAAAATTACCTCTTCCATTCTGAAATGATTCACACACCTCAGCAGTCCGGCCCAGTATTGTGTCCCATTTTTTTTTGTATCATAGGGATGCACGTAGAACTATGCCGCACTTACAACTTTCCAGTAGGAACTGCAAAATAGAGATTCGGTCAGATAGGGCCTGCAGGAACAGTAGAAGTCCCCAGCGGTCAGTAGGTGGGGAGTCGCCACGTGCCCAGTCCCATCCAGTTCCAGGAAAGGCCTAGATACAGTCTGAATCTTCATCGGCTGCTGCAAGGTCGGACAGCGACCAACAATGGCAGCAGTGGGAGGCACAAGCAGATGCACAAAAGGGAAGCCGAAGCAGGTAACCCCCTCTTCTTCGATTCTGGCTACGTGGAAGTGCTGCTGCGTTACAGTGCATCAAGATCTTAGACTTGAACAGCGGCCTGGCAAGAAATAGACAACGGCTTGGTGTAATCCTGAGGGACCTAAAGTCGCAAATACCAGGGACGTTTGGTACATTGTATTTGCTCCTTTGGGTGCCAGTGTGGTCAGACCCATGTTCTCTGTCCACAAAGGACACAGTCGCAGCCCTCACATTTGCACCTCCCAGGAAGTGTACGTAGTCACACTGCTTACCCCCCAAAAAATATATAGAGGCTTTCTTTTTTCAATGTTGAACTGACACGCACGGCTGTTTTCCTAATGCACGATTCTTGAAGTAACTCACGGAGGAAGGAAAAATCAGAAAGGTACTAGATAACCTGTTGCGGCTTCGCTCACAAAAACGAACACGACAGGTGATGCAGTAAAAAGGTGGATGCAAACTCTCTCTCTCTCTCTCTCTCTCTCTCTCTCTCTCTCTCTCTCTCTCTCTCTCTCACACACACACACACACACACACACAGACGGACAGAAACCGTAAAAAATAGAAAACAAAAAAAAGATTGCGTCTCCCTCCGCTGACTTCCCCACCCTCCCAGCTTCCCCTTTCCCTCTCTCTCTCTCTCTCTCTCTCTCTCTCTCTCTCTCTCTCTCTCTCTCTCTCCCTCCCTCTCTCTCTCTCTCTCTCTCTCTCACACACACACACACACACACACACACACACACACACACACACACACGCGCGCGCGTACTTACGTACACAAAAAAAAGAACAGGAAAAGAGACGAAACGCTAATCAAATCGCGTCACGTGCCACAGCCACGTGATGCAATAACCCCCCCGCCCCCCTAACATCTCCCCCTCCCACATGTCTCTCTTTCTCTCTCCGTCTCTTTCTCACTCAAACACACACAAACAAAACGGAATAAACAGATAGTGTCACGCGGCTCACTTTCACCTCCCCCCACCCACCGCCGAATTTTTCCTAACCCGAACCCCTACCCTCTTCCGCCTCGCCCATCTCTCTCTCTCTCTCTCGCTCTCTCTGTGTGTGTGTGTGTGTGTGTGTGTGAAAACGAAAAAAATGCACACACACACACACACACAAAATAAAACGAAAATAAAAATGAAAGCACGATTCCGCGCCACGTATCTTAACCACATGCGCGATTCCGTGGCTTTCACCTCTACAACCCTCTTTTGGCAACTTACGCCTAGCTTCCCCTTCGCACCCCTTACTTTCCCCCTAACTTTTCCTCTTCTCCTTCCTTTCCCTCTGTACTTTCCCCTCTTCTCGTACTTCCCCTTTGTTCTCCTCGTCCAGCCCCATCTCTTTCTGCCTCCCTACCCTCCCTCCCTCTTAGGCTTTCGCCTTCCTTTTTCTCCTTCTCCTCGTGTTCCTCTTTCTCTTCCTCGTCCTCCTCTTCATGTGACTTCGTCTCCCTTTCGCAATCAGAGTGAATAGGAAAGAAAAACAAAACCACCATAGCCTCATCCTCCACTTTCACGCCATTCATCTCCCTTTCGCGATCAGAGTGAATAGGAAACAAAAACAAAACCACCATAGCCTCGTTCTCCCCTTCACACCGCTTCGTCTCACTTTCGCGATCAGAGTGAGTAGGAAAGAAAAACAAAACCGTCATAGCCTGTTTCGGCCCCCTTTCCCCACGCCATTATCATCTCACCTTATCCTTGCAAATAGTGCTCCTTACTCCTTATCTTTCATCTTCAACGGCGTCTTCAACCTCATATTCATCAGTCAGCGTCATATTGAGGGGGTGCTTGGGCTCTCTCGCTCTCTCTCTCTCTCTCTCTCTCTCTCTCTCTCTCTCTCTCTCTCTCTCTCTCTCTCTCTCTCTCTCCCGTCTTTTCTCTCTCTCTCTCTCTCTCTCTCTCTCTCTCTCTCTCTCTCTCTCTCTCTCTCTCTCTCTCTCTCTCTCTCTCTCACGTCGCGCGTGCACCCACCCACACACAGTTTGTGTGAACGCCACGAAAAAGTATGACTCTGCCAGACTGTTTTGTTGGACTTTCACCAACTCATCAGGAGGTTGAACACCGACAGTCTGCCCATGATATACTTGCATGCATGCGTGTGTTCGTGCTTGTGCGTGTGTACGTGCATGTGCTTGTTCGAGTGGATGGGTGGGCGTTCATGTTAGTGCGTGTTGTGCATGCATGCGCGTGTGTGCGTGCATGTATTTGTTACAGCGGACGGGCGGGCGTTCGTTTGAGTGCATGCTGTGCGCCGCCAAAGATATGCGGGGGGGCCGAACCGCTGAGCCCAAGAGGAGACCGCCCCGCCTGGAACCGGTTTCTTCCCACACCTGGCAGCCCTAACTTCGGTCGGGCTGCAAACTTCTAATCTGGGCTCCGAGCCGTCGGGTCGGTAGGACCACGAACGGCCTGGATCGCCGCGCAATCTTAAAACCTTAAGATCGTGGGGCAATCCGGGCCATCGGGCCGGCAGGTCTGAGGACAGCCCGGATGCCAAAATACTTACATTAGCGATTTTAGTAAGTGTAGGGAATTTGAGACCGCCTATGAGGTGGTCTCAAAAAGGGGATGCCAAAATTCTCACATTAGCGATTAATAAGTGTAGGAAATTTGAGACCGCCTATGAGGTGGTCTCAAAAAGGGTCCTCCCGTGCCCCCCCCCCCCCGCACGCTGCTGACAAAAGGGTCACCAAAAAGTAAATTTGGGTAGCGGGCCTCTCCAATGTGACCCAAAAACTGCCCCAAATTTTGGTATTTAAGGTCATCAGGTCCCTGTGTGAGTATTCCCTGAGTGTCATACATATATAAACTCTGGCGCAACGAAGACAAGAAAACAAAATCTTTTTCAGTAAAGGCAGGGCCTTTTTGGTGGGATCAGAGCAAACTGTGTCTCCTACCAGGATTAAGCACTGTGTGTGAGAAGAGCCAACGCATTTGTAGAGAGAAGCACTTGTTTTAGGATCTCTTGGAGTGGTCCCCTAACAGACATAGGTGAGGAACTAGGGCAGCAAGAAATAGCAGATGTAGGTTCGCAAGGTAAGGGTAGCTGCCCATCATAGATGGCACGGCCACCAACAGTTCTATCTCCCGTAAAACCAGTTCAAAAGTTGCATTTAGGGCTGAAGTTCAGGATTTGGATGAGGCAATAGTCCTTAGAATGGCCAGCACTAGTCTAATGAATGTGGACAACACCTTGAGGGGGTTAAGGCATACTTCCAATTGGAGGTTGGAGAACACTCGAAAGGCTATTGCAGTCTTTGACCCTTCTAACTGAAGAAGACCCACCCTTCAATACGGTCTAAGGCAAGAATTGGGGAATGGCGGCAAAAGCAGACGCGAAGACAGAACGAGTTGAGTGCTGGTTGCCCATTCAAGAGAAGAAAATGGAGAGGGAGAAAAGTCTGCCAGTATCAACAATCTGGATTGAAATCCTCCCTATCCATAAGCGTGCCCCTGCCTTCACCAGATACACAGTGAAGAATTAGTTGGTAGACCAGATCTATGTGTCGTATGCACCGCCTGAGAAAAAGGAAGACATAGGAGGGAGAGATCAAGGAAGAGGGAGAGAGTAGCATCCCAAGTCCACAGTTGTTAGCAGAGTTCGTTGATATGCGGGAGGAACACAAGGGCATAGTGGATAGGCGAATCGAGCACCATAGTGAGATAGGGAAGGTAGTAAGACTACGGCTTGCCCAGTTTGTCTGTTCCTAAGAAGGCAGGCAAGTTGAGGTCGTTGCATAGACAATAGGGGTTTAAACGCCATAACAGTGAAGAATGCAGAGCCACTTCCCCTTATAGATGAGCTGTTGGATAGGCTACAAGGTTGCAAATATTCTTCCAGGATAGATGTGAGGTCCAATTCCCATCAGAACGAAATGGCCCATGAAGATAAGCACAAGACAGCCTCCCAGACTAGGTACCGTCATTATGAGTGCAATGTGATGCCTTTCGGTCTAAATAACACCCCTCCGACCTTCCGGCATTCATTGACAGATCTGTAGTTGTGTACCTTAGATGTTATCTTGGTATTTCGCAAAACTACCTTAGTACGAGGTTACCTGTTGCAGCTTCGCCTGCAACAAAATGAAGGGGACAGGGTGCAAATGAGGGTGGGTGGGGGTTTGTTGGTCCGTGTGTGGGTTTGGGTGGGGCCGGGGTGTTTTTTAGGCTGACCTGTGCACTGTTGTTGACACTGCCAATGGAATGCCGCTCCTGCTTTGTATGCCTTGATTTTATGCTTTTTTTTCGTGTTTTTTTGCTTTTTTGTCCTGTCAGAGACCTGATCACAGTTTGCGTTCCTTCCAGTTGTGGTTTGCTGGGTAGGTGGTTGTTCGGATTTGAACTCACACGTTGCATACCTGTCTCCCGCTCACCACAGATATTATTTCTCAAATGTCGAGAGAGACGCATTTCTGTGATTGTGTAACATATCAGAA